AGGTGATGCATAACCTACACTTATGAAGAATGAACAAGAGTTAACACACTGAAGAAGAGGGAAGGAGTATCCTGGCAGCAGGAATAGCAAGTGAAAAGGCCCAAGAGTCATGCAGCAGAGTGACTCAGTGGAAAGCTGCACATCATTCAGGCTGACCAGAGAGGGACTGAAGATGAGGCTAGCATGAGAGGCCGGGGCATATCATGAAACGTCACATATGTTTTATTCTAGCACGTACCTATTGCTACCTTCTATGTAATGCTAACTAAAATGCCAAACACTATACACAATTTTACATAATGCAGCACTCTAGTGCTATGGTATAAAGCCCACTTGAAAAAACTGAAGATACTGAGACTAAAAGGTTAACTAACTTCTCCAGGGTCACATAGACATAGCTCTAACTACTTTTATATGCAGCCTTTCACCTGGAACTCAAACTCATGGAATTTGTTACTCCAATGATATAGACTGAATATAAACAAAATTGTGGGAGTAGGTATTTGAGATGCAGTTGGATATATGAAGATACATTTGAGAATGAAATATCTAAGGAAGCTTGAAGGAAAAGCTTCTGTATCTAATGTACATCCTTTTATTTTTGACCAAATCTGATGGACCACAGTACACATGTCAGGGACAGAAGACAAGGGTTAGGTTCTGGCCAAGGGTTCTTTGATCAAATTTCTTAGCTCATGATCTGTCCCTGCCTCTGCCTAGAATGTCTCTTTCTCCTTTCTTCAATTTTCTGACTTTTGTTAATTCTCCACAAATTTAGTTTAAGCATCACCCCTTTTAGGAAACTTACATTGAACCCCTGTCCTATTTAGAAAGGAATCTTGATGCTCACAGTATACCTGTGCAGATCACATTGCACCATAACTTTGGCTTTGATTGTTTCTCCATGCCCATATCACAGACTATAAATTCCATTAAGATAAGGATATTACCTACTTCTTTTTCCTAAGAAAATTTTGCTTTTGTTCAGATTTCTGTCCCTCTTGCATTCAGTCCACATAGCTCAAGGGAGGTCACCTCTTTCCCATCTCAAGGAATGGATCTGATTGTTTAAGCCAGTGGTTCTCAACCACAGGTGAGTTGTCTGGACACATAATTGGTTGTCACATCTGGGATTTACTACTGACATGCAATTGGGAGAGGCTGGAGATGCTGCTAAACATCCTATAATGAGTAGCCCCCTTCCTCCTCCACATTCTTCCCACCCTATCCCTTAGCCCAGTGGTCAGCAAACTGCGGCCCCTTGAGTGTGGCTCTTCCACAAAATACCACATGCGGGCGCGCACAAACAGTGCAATTGAAACTTCGTGGCCACACTCAAGGGGCCAAAGAGCCGCATGTGGCTCGCGAGCTGCAGTTTGCCGACCACTGCCTTAGCCCCATCCAAGAATTATTCTTCCAGCCCCAAACATCAGTAGTGCTGAGGTTGAGGCTGGTTTAAGTCAGTGTTTCCATGGCTTTGCTTCCTGACTGTTTACGGTTTAGGGAGGAACATATGCCCTAAGTCAGGGGTGGGCAACCTTTTTGTGAGTGCGTGCCAAAACCAGCAAAATCTCTGACTCAAAATTCTTCTGCGTGCCAACCCTAATTTTTTGAGAACGTGTTACGCCTACTTGATATCTCTTAAGGTGTACATATGTGAAGAACCTTGAAGAAATAATAAAATTCATTCGAGCAACAAAAACACAGTATATGATGATGAAAAATACATTTATTTTTTAATGTATACATGTATACTGATAGTCTGACAGAAAACTTTATGACTCCGTTTGATATTATCAGTGGGACTTTTGCTGCTGCATCACTGATGACAGAGATTTTACATCAGGTTTATACTTCGTGACCTTCAGAGATATGCACGAGCTACTACTTTCATCCGTCAGGCTACTCCTATTATGAGATTTAACAAAATTCATCACTGAGAACAAAGATTCACAAGCGTACGTGGATGAAACCAAAACACTGGTCGGATCTAGGAAGTCAGGGAGAGTTAAGGCAGAGGCATAGAAATTTCTCTTCTCCTCTCTCGTCAATCCGTGTCTATGGTCTTTAAGATAACTTGTTATGTAAAATTATTTATTTACCTAAGATGCACCTACACTGAATTTATCTGAAAAATAAAAAAGTCGATATTAAGAAAAAAATTGTAAATGGAAGATTATAAGAGAGGGTTTCGGGTGCCAGCAAAAGTTACTGGCGTGCCATGTTTGGCACGGCATGCGTGCCAGGAGTTGCCCACCCCTGCCCTAAGTAATTAGTCAGATTGAAGTGAAGGATGCTATTCCATGATTGGGAAAAAGATGAAAGAGATGGATGATAAAGCTAGAGGGTTAAATTTTTGTCACATTGTGGTGAGCTCTGGGTGGAAGGCTAAGTATGGTCTTCACCTGCAATGGAGCAGCAGGTACCAACCACTATTAGAAAGGTGTTTCAGGAGCGTGGGTATCCCATACAACCTACAGGGTAGATGGGAGGGGGCAGAGCATGATAGCCTGGAGCACTGTGAGGTAGTTCCTGAGTGAGGTGACATGGCGTGAATTTCTTTATGCCTCTAGCAGTTAGCACAGTCTCCTACACATAGAAAGACTCAAGTATGTTTATTGGATAGTCGGATTGTAACTGTGTTTTGGAACATAGTAGTAAATAGACTGTGATTCTGACCCAATATTCTATTTCTTAAAAATCTTTTTTTAAAAAAATATATATTTTATTGATTTTTTACAGAGAGGAAGGGAGAGGGACAGAGAGCCAGAAACATCAAGGAGAGAGAAACATTGATCAGCTGTCTCCTGCACACCTCCCACTGGGGATATGCCCACAACCAAGTACATGCCCTTGACCGGAACCGAACCTGGGACCTTTCAGTCCGCAGGCCGACGCTCTATCCACTGAGCCAAACCAGCCAGGCTCTTAAAAATCTTTATCAGCACAGCTGGTGTGAATCGGTGGTTGAGTGTTGACCCCATGACCAGGAGGTCATGGTTTGATTCCTGGTCAGGGTACATGCCCGGCTTGCGGGTTTGATCCCCAGGAGTGTGCAGGAGGCAGCGGATACATGATTCTCTCTCATCACTGATGTTTCTATCTCCCCTTCTCCCTTCTTGTCTCTGAAATCGATAAAAACAAATTTTTTAAAATCTATGTCATCTGTATGTCTGTGGTTACAATGAAGAAATATCAAATATAATAAATCCCAAATTTCCGTTTTGAAAGGACATCTTAGGTAAGTTTTACATAAACACTGAAGTTAGTGTGTGTGTGTGTGTATTACAGCAACTTTTGGCTGTAACCTCTTGGGATAGATTTTCGGTCCATGTGGCAGTGCCCTCTTGGGTTTCTTTTCAAGCCCAACTGAGGCGAATGACGAAGATCTCAATATTGAGGTGCCCTTGACCCCTTGCTAGAGCTTCAGACTTGCAGAAGAAGCCCAAGGCTTCTGCCCTCTTCCACCACCCTACTTACTACTCTGACCTTCCTTCATTATTTCCCTGGCAGGTGAACTCTGACCCCGAAGGCATTAGGGAAGTTTAAGTTTTATTTTTTCCCTTTGTTCTCAGCAACTGCTTGTGTGGGGGGTGGGGGAAGGAGTGACTTAGGTTTCAGATTAATTCAGGGAAGCTCCTAGTGGGCCCCTTAAACATAATACCCACTAGCAGACTAGTACGCATTTGCTGCTGCAGTGGCTTTCATAGTGTGAAGGAGACAGTCCCAGCGACAAGCTTATAGAGAATTTACTCTTTACAAAAGAGTGTAAAATATTGCTTTTTAAGACGTGCTATTTCTGTGCCCCCCAAAATACTAAAACATAAAAGAAGATATTCCATAACCATGTTTTTGTAAATTCTCTCCCCTGCCCCTTTTCTTTTGACTGTTACAATAGCAAACATTGCTTTTAGTGATTAGAAGTAAAATGTGGATGTCAAATTTAGAAGACAGTATGATCCTTTTTGTATTTTTTCTTGGCAAAGCAATTTAATTAGAAAATAATCTTCCTCTTTAACATCTAATACTATAAAATATCCCATTTTGTTGGCAGTTCATAGCAAAATTTTGAGCTATCATGTTACCATGAAAAGATATTTTAAGTAAGAAAGATGACTTTTTAAAAAATCAAAAATGCAAAGCACTTTTTAAAAAAGCAATCTTCTATTTTAAAAAGTACTTTTTCAGTGGGGCGGAGAATGGGGAACATACTAAATCCTTCATGGAGGAAGGAATTACAAGGGGAGTGTGTGTTGGGCTGATCACACCAGTCTCAGCCCTGGCTGTCTGCGGAGGAGTGTGCCCAGTGTATGCATGTGTGTGCGCCCCAGTGTGTGCCCGAGTGTGCGCGCGCAGCCACAGGGCCCCTGGGCCCGGCCTTGGGGCTGCCGGGCTTCCCCGCGGGCGGGGCGGGGCGGGGCGCGGGGGGGGGGGGTGATGGGGGGCGCGCGTGCCGGTAGGTACCCACCCGGGGCCGTGCGCAAACGCCTGTGGCCCCGGCTCTGTGTGGCACCATCGGCACCATTTTCGGCTTCGCTCGGGACAGGCTCCTAAAGGGAAGGCGGCTGCCGCCCGTCGCCGTCCTCTTTCCCTCAGATGCCCTCTGCCGCAGGTTTATTATTACAGTACCGGCCGCGCCGCCTCCCCGCGGCCCTGGCAGCTCGCCGGGCTGTGCAGCGCCCTGGCCGCCTTCTCGCTTGGCGCGCCCCCAAACCGCCTCCTCCACCTCCTTATTTGTCTGAAAAGCCACCGCACGTCGAGGCGGAGAGGCCCGCCGGGGGCGGGGAGGCCGTGCCGGGTGTGTGCGCCCGTGCTCGGCGGCGGGGCGGGGCGGGGCGGCGCGCCCAGCTGCGGGCCCCTTTGTCCCCAGGGCCGGGCGGGCGCAGTGGGGGCGGCCGGGCGCGCGGGGCCGGGGCGCGGGGGGCCGGGGTGCGCGCACGTTGGCCGCCCGCCGACGGGCCCCGAGCTGCGGATTCCTGCCGAGTAAGCAGTCTGGCTCCGCCGCGGCAGCACAGTGGCTGCAAGGCTGGGGCGCTGGCGCCGCGCCAGCCCCATCAGAATTAGCTCATTGTTCACTCGCACACTAGCAGCGGAGAGAGGGAGAGAAAGAGAGCGAGACTCTTAGAGAGAGACACACACTCTTGAAGACAGAGCACGAGGCAGGGAGACCTTCCCCTCCTTCTTTATTCAGGGCTGCACTTCTTGGAAGTGAAGCCGGTTTGGGTTTTGTTTCCCCTTCCCCCTCCTCTCTCCTTTTCCTCCCCCCGTTCCCCTCCCCTCCCCCCTCCCCGCCCCTCCCCCCAGCTGTCTTCCTTGCATGATGCCCTTTTTCATCCACATTTGTGTTTCAGGTGTAGAGAGGAGAGAGTGCACAGGGAGCGGGGCTTTTGTCTGTAAGTATATGCCATTCCCATCGCCGGCCGGGAGCGCTGCTTTCTCTTTTGTGTCGGTTTCTTGCCTTTACTCTTAGCCGGACCCTTCAACCCTGCAGAGTTCATGCTTCTTCCCTCTACATTTTAAAGAGCTCAAGCATGTACCTTGGAGAAATTCTGGTATTTGGGATCTGCTGCATTAAGGCTGGAATTTAAAAAAAAAAAATGCACAAGAGGGAGAATTCTTTGGGGAAGGGGCGGGCTTTGTTTTAATTTTTTTAATCTTTTGTTTGTTGGTGTGGTTAATTTTTGTTCTTCTTGCTCATAAAAAGCAGTGTTGGGGACTGTTTCGTTTCTTTGCATTGAATGCACTTTGCGGCATGCACCCCGCCCCCTTTTATTACACGAATTCGTGTCCTTCCATCTTTACACTTTATTACTCTTTCAACGCTGCTGTTGCCGCCAAGGGTCTTTGGAGGCATTCGATCTTCCAACACTTTTCCCCTGCATTTTCTTCTAAAGCAGTTGAACTTTGGGGGAAGAGGGGTGGCTTAAGAATAGATGACTGCTTTTTGATAATGATGATAATTGGATTTGCATTTATATGTAGGTATGATAACATAGGGAAACTCTAAGAGCTTATGAGACCCTTTTGGAGAACTTTTAGTTTCTCCATTCATCTTAATTTTTGTCCTAACTTACGTTAACAAAAGAATTGTATTGTGATGACCTAAAGGTTGAGAGGAAAATCACTGCAGCATGTGCATTAATGTTGATTTGTTTAGGGAGAAGGGCATAAGGTGTATATTCCTGACTTTTTCCCCCAATGTAGTCCCCCCCCCCCCCAAACACAGAAGGTTATGTAATGCAGTGCCATTTCCAAAAATATCCACTCTGAGGCATTACACTACATGGTGAAAAGCTAATTCCTATTCTGCTGTCTTGATTGCAAATATATTGCCAGTAGTATGTCTGGGAACAAAGAGCAGCCAGAAAACAATCTATTTTTATCACTTGGTTCTACTTTTAAGTTGCTAAACCTTTTGAACTGTAATTTAAAAAATGAACCAAACACTAAGAATAGCTCAGGGTGCTGCAAAGCCAGGTACCAGGGATTCCTTTGTCCCCTATTTCAGCCTGTAGACAGCTTGGAACGCTCTTTCAGAAGCCCCACAGTAACAGTGATTTGCATGTAACTTATCTTAACCACAGAAAGTGGTTATTTGTCTGTAACCTCTAAACAGGCATTCTTCATTTGCTGACCGGTGGTGAGGCGATTTGTCTACTATTTTAAACATATTTTGCAGGTTCGTCTCCCTGGACTGAAGACAGGGAGGGTGCAAGTCCAAGGCTGCTATGATCCTCAAAATGGTAAGAACTGGTCATCCAAGGAGATTCTCAGTCTCATTCCGGCTTTATTCCGTATAAATGTCAGCCACCCACCGTCACCCCGCCTCAACCCTTCATTGTTCTTACCCCATCTGACCTTTAGAAGGTTCTATCTCCAGCATGTGGGAGCTTTGCAGTGCAGTAATTTATATGAATTGGATGTGGTGAATTAGATCTTTTGATTTTCAATCATCTTGAATAGAAAACTGAAATTCCTTTTTCAGAAGTGAAGACTTATTTAACTTGAACAACAGAAACCGTTCTGTTCTTTAAGAAGAGTGATGTGTTGTGACATGCAAGGAAAGGCTGATAGCAGCAGGGCTCAAACAAAGCCATGGGTCAGATGTTAGAGACAGCCAGAACTTACCCAAAAAGTAGGAGTCTGTGTCCAGCTAATCAAATGGCTATGGTATCTGCTGTCCTTACGAGCAATATCTATGAAGAACATGGACTTTTATATTAATGCACTCTGTCTACTGTATCTCAAATATAATTAGCATTGTGTTTTTTTGTTGGTTTATGAGAGACACATGCCCAGTTTTAGAAGTCAAGCATGTTCTCCCCTAAATGAAAGGGAAACTATTTTTTAACAAGCATGATCCACAGGGAAAGCAGTTGAGTGTTTGATGGCTGATTAAAGAATTAGATGAAATACACATTAAATAAGTATATTTATCTCCTATGAAAAATTTCCTCTTTGCAAATAAGTTGAATTGAAAAAAAAAATAGAAATCTCATGAAACTTTTCAGATAAATACAGCATGTCCTCCTGCAGATGTTTATACTCTTTAAAACACCCCTTTGCCACTTAGACTGTGTGATTTCCAAATTTAGTTTTAGTGTTTCCTTTTAAACGAGGGCGGAATTTAATGAATCAAAATTGAATCTGATATACTTGATGTTTTCTTTGAGCACAACCCAAGTATAAGCTTCCAAGGAGAAAAATGAATCAGAAGCAATTAAATGAGTTCAGTTTCAATCCTATTATCAAGTAGGCTCTTTATTTTTTGTGTATGCCTCACCTGTCGTTTCAACAGGTGGATTTTGAAGCACCAAATAAAATAGTTCTTGCTCGGACTTTAATAATGACCAAATTAAGGGACTTGAGGTTAGAGGAACAAAAAGGATGAGCAGAAAATTAAACTGATTAAGGTTTTTGTGCCAATAGTTCCTAACTTCATATTGCATTCCTAATTAGCCATTGTCCCAGAGTACCAGGATGGTAATAAAATAAACTGCTGCAAAGTTTTTTTGTTTATTTAATTATCTTTTACCGGGACTTGCCACATCACCTTATCCCAGAACCTTACTCTCTGTGTCACCATAAATGGTTGTAACATGTCAGGTGTCCCATTTGGTTAAACATAAATTCGACCGCTGACCCTGCCAAAACTAGCCCTATAGATCAAGCTCAAAGGGTATCACGTTTCTGTAACAGTGAGTGGAGTGAGCTTTGTGGAAAGCAAGCATGTGAGCCAAAGCTGAGAATGAAAGTTGGAATGATTTGAATGCAGAAAAGCAAATTCGAATTATTATTACATGTTGTTAATTTCTTACAGTTGTCATTTATGTATGGTGGCCGAATGAGAAATCACAGTTTGTTGCTCTTGGAAGGATTTTCACTCATGGAAAAATTCTTACGACTTTTTGGTGATCCTTTCATCAAGATGTCAGTTCCTTTTGGCACAAGCCATTGCCTGAAATGAAACCACCGACAGTTATTGTCTGTGGGTGATTCCAAGTAACTTTCTAGCAATTCTCTCATCCCGGGAGGTCAGAGCTCTTAAAAATCTTTGTACATATTAATGCAAAAAAATTTCAATTTTGTTTCTATAAAACTGATATTAGACGTGTTTTGTACCTCCACTTTTTCAGTTTGGGGCAAAATGAAGTTATTCTTTCCTTGATTAAAACTGAAATTATTTTGCTGATCTGTAACTAGCTTACTTAAAGACTTAGCCCACATGCAATAGAAACCACTGCTAGGGAAGCAAATTTAACACCTGGCTACCTCTAGAAAACATAAAACGCCCTTTCTGTTAAACATGTTATTCCACTTGCATAATTTAAAACACTATAGAGGATCTACAGCCAGTGTATTTACCCCATTTAGTAAAGGGCTTATGCCAAATACAAATTTTTAATCGGCTCATTTCCATAAAAGAACTCCAGAATTCAAGATAGCTAGACATTTTACATACCCTAAAATGATGTTTCACAATAATTTGAAGATTCAGTCATGAATCCTAGAGTGAGTGCCTTTTGCATTATCAAAAAAAAAAAAAAAAAATACAACCACTTTGTTAGCTGTAAGAAGCACCAATCACATTATATGCTGTGTATGGGACCCTATAAGCACAACTCCAGGGGGCGCCACTTACATAGATTACAATGCACCTGGGATTGTGCAACTCAGGAGTACTGTTTTGTATGGGTCCTTGGTATTTACTTAGATGTTTTATTTTAAAGTTACCTGCTTTTGATACGTCAGTGAGAAGAAAATACTTCAGAATGCATAGATAGTTTTATTGAATAGTTTGAAAAATGTCAAGGTTAAGTTCTGATTTTCAGCATGCCTACCCTCTGTGCAGGAAACTTGCCTCTGAGTATGTGTGTGCCATGGACTCATAGTGGCATAAAGCATGGGCTCATTATGTTTTAACAGAGACCTAGGAATTGGAACAAATTAAGTTCTCTTTAAGGCTGTTGCTGAGCTTTTAGAAAAGATGAGTTGACTCCATTGTATGGTTCATAGAGCTCTACTTTCTGTAGTCTGTGAAGTGGCATTCATGGGTTTATAAGGAGGCTCTTTGAATAATCTCTCCACTAACATAAGGTTTTCCTGTTTAAAGAAATAGACAAAGATTGAGGAGAGATGTGGTTCTATTGGTAGCTTTGCCAGTGGGTTTTAGAATGTAAATTTACAAGTTGCTCACAGTGATTCTTGATTGTGGGGATGCTGAAGAGTTCCTAGGAGGGTAATTTTATATGGTACTATCTTCTCTTTCACCAGGCCTTTCAGCACACTGTAAGGGGGAGGGAGAATTGGGAATTGTTTAGGGAATTAGGACAGCAGGGATGGTCTATCTGGATTTAACTTCAGTCCAGCTTCCGTTTGAGCTACATAGATAATTCAGGCAGGAGAGGGTATATAGTAGCAGAAATCTTTGAATAAACAGCTATTCAAAGTATCATTCTATTTTAACCCAATACAGTTCTTTAAAACTTGTATGTAAATCAGATCATCATAAATACACTGAAGGAATTCACTTTCTTTTAAATCCTAAGATGAATACTTTTAAAATAGAGAAAATAGACTTTTAAAATATGAATATGAGTAACCTCCAGATTTCTAGTTTAATACATTAAATATTCATCTACGTTGGACTGGCTAAAGATTAGTCTTAGAGTGAAATATTGTAACTTCCTTGGTCTTGCACATATTTTACTTAGTGCTGTTTCTGGCTGGAAAGTCTTTTAAGGCCTTATCCTCACAGGGAAAGAGAAATGGAAGGTTGAGGCAATTATCTGAATAATTATGCTTTTTTTAAAAAGCCACTTGATTTCGTCTGATTCATTTTGGTTACTTAAAATGTTGCAGGAGTGATATAGGAGTGGGAAGGATTTGCCTGAATTATTTGAATAATTTCTTTGTTATACAGAAAGAGACTAGAAGAAAGAAATTTTATCAGCAAATCCAATTAGAATATACCAGAGGAAAATGTATTGAATGCACTTGGACTTGTCATCTTGGTTGATCAAGATATATTAAAAGATTCCAATTTTAAACTTCTCCTTTGCTTTCAACTGGAAGGCAGGTTCACCATAAATCTCAGCCCCTGTCTGTAGAAATTATGGCTGTTGAAATATGATTTATTGGGTCTAAATATATATGAAATGGGTATTTCTAGACATATTTTGTACTTAGGGGTAGCTTCAAGAATATCTCATCTCAGTGGTATAAAATATAGCAGTGATTTTAAAATTGGTCTTCATGGCAAGTGTTAGCAGCTCTAATGATTTAGGATTTAAGCATTAACAAGGATTTAGGCTTGCAACTAAATTCTAAATATCAATTCAGTTATTAGTAGCAGTGACTTAGTATTAACCTGGGTATAACATTAGATTATACCTCTCTGCATTACTTGTTGGTTGGGTCATATGCAGTTCTTTCATTGACCACCTAAATTATAGGCATCAAGAGGGATTATAAGGTTCATGTACAGTGCTTAATAAAGTATTAAATATATGTTAGAAGATCAATAACTATTTGGTCTATGAATGCTAATATATAGTAACTTGGATATATTTATCGTTAATGACTTAATCATGTTTAGTTTGGGTGAACTATAAGTCATATGTATCTTTACCTTCTTCTAAAAATCTAGGAAGTTGATGTGAACGTATTTTAGTTTTCACAAGTTATTTTCCATAATTTATTAACAGGAGTGAAAAAAAGTGGTTAAGCCATAAAAGCACTTACCAAAAAAAGAGTGGCTTGCCATTGCTCACCTTTACCAGCTTTTAATGCCACTCTGAGCAGCCTGGTGCGATGCTAGCTCTCTAGGTTTGATCCAGCTGCAATGCTCAAAGCTCACAGCACCTTTCCTGCAGCCACATATCCCCTCCAGAGTCCAGAAGGATCCTAGTATTGGAAATGTAAAGTCCTCACTTATTTCCAATATAATCTGATTCTGTGGGATTTTGAAGATGATCCCAAGGACACAGCGATGCCATGTCTGAAAGTGCTGAAGAGATAAGAAGAGTTAGCAGTAAGATTTTGCATGTGTTCCCCATGTCAAGTGAACAAGGTGTTTGGTTTTTTTGTTGGTTTGTTTTTTTGAGCATTTTATTTGTGCTTAGTTCTTTGTATTATAGAAAGTGCACATTTGCTCTGTGCCCTCAGTGGGTTTATATTTTAGATGTGGAAGGAAGACTAACAGGCATGACAAATTTAACAGTGTAATATAGTATAATCTCGA